CTGCATGTCTTTGGACGGTGGGAGGAAGCCGGAATACCCGGAGGGAACCCACGCAGACACGGGGAGAACATGCAAACTCCACACAGAAAGACCCCGGCCTGATGTTGGAATTGAACTCAGGACCTTCTTGCTGTGCGGCAACAGTGCTAACCACCGTGCCACCGTGCTGCCCCTATTATTATTATTATTATTATTATTATTATTATTATTATTATTTATAAAGAAATGTTAAAAGTAAGATCCTCTTAATGAAGGATCTGTTTACAAAACACATGATTAGCAGTTCCATATTTTTACACTCACAAGCCACTTCCTTGGCTACACCTTTCTAGCACTGGTTCAGACTTCCTTTGACCTTCCGAACTGCCAAGCAACTGGAAACATTCCTCAGAGATTTTGGTCCTGACTTGATAGCATCACGGGATTGCTGCAGATTTGTCAGCTGCACACCAATGATTTGATTCTCCCATTCCACCACATCCCAAAGATTTCTGTTGGATTGACATCTGGAGACTTTGGAGGGGATTTGAGAACAGTGAACTCACTGTTTTGTCGAAGAAATCAGTTCAATCAGTTCAGTTCATATGGTGTGCCTTTATAAATGCTCTTATGCATACCTTGGTCAGATCGAGTGGTTATTTCACGAAACTGCTACTTTTAAATATCCAAGTATTTTCATTATTGTGAAATATTGGTATTCCCACAGGAGGAGCTAAACAGCAATTTACTGATATAATTTGAAGTATTAAAGATGATTTCTTTGCAATTTTGGCCAATGCTGTCGCTGTCCACTGGGCTTCATGTTTGGTCATCTGGGGTTTGTAGGCTCAACTCATTTATTCTGAAATTTCAGTGTTTAAAATTAGGCTTTTATTCTGAAGAGATCCTGCTGCCGGCGGAAGTCGTGGCATGCACGTCATGGCTACCTGTCTGAAAAATCTGTAGCTAAACTTTCACTTTGTTCTGAAAGCACAACGATTATGGCGACGTTTTTCGGGGAAGTGCTGTCGGTTTACTCTCGGGCTGTGGAAGAAGACGACGATGAGCTTGATGAAAACGAGGAAGATGAGCAAATCCGCAGAGAGCTGGAGGAAAAAAGGTAAATAACTAGCTGTAGCATCGGGGAGTGAACGCAGAAAGAGCATGCAGAGGGGAATCGGGTTTAGTTAATCTAGCTAGTTAGCTCGCTGAAATTCAGAGATTATTGCCAGTGAAATACTAAGACGTACAAAGGTATGCAGACTATATCATCCCAGTTTAAGCATTTTCTTACTCGGTCAGCTGGATGGATATCTGCCGCTGAAGCTAACTGAGCTAACATGACACATGAGTTTTCAGTTCACCCATTCAAACAGCATTAATGCAGGAACCAGTTTTTAACACTTTCATCAAGTGTACAAAAAGATATGGCAACATTGTCATTGCTATTATGCCCTTAAATACGGAAATGGTTAATAATAATAATAATAATAATAATAATAATAATAATAATAATAATAATGATGATGATAATACAGAAACTTAGTAGTCAAACAAAACGTTAGGGTAGTGTCAGGAAGGGCATCCTCAAGAGTGAGATTTCCATAAAAATCAGTCGAAGCCCGGTTTATCAGTGCTGCTGGTTGAAGACAGAGGAAGAGAAGATGTGTGTTTGGAAGCTGCCAGAGAGAAGGAAAGGTAGGAGGTGAGGGTAAGGACTTTAAATGCAAAGGATTTTAAATGTGAAGCTTTCAGGGTGACGGAAAGAGGAAGACAACAGAGAAAAATAATGGATGCAATGAAGGAGGAGATACAAAGGGTTGGTCTGACAGAGGAAGATGTTAGGTTGGAAGGGTGAGATGGAGGCATTATCCATTACAAAATCATGAAAGTATTTGTATGTGTAGTTTTTCCAGAATTCGTTCTAGAGAATGGCACATTTTAGGAATGATTTCATGATTCTTTTATGTAAGAGAAAAAAATATATTAAAATTAGGTTTTTCGAAGCCAAACCAACACATTGTGTGATGACAGGCAAAAAGTAGACACATAGATTTTTATTTTGTTTTTTGTCTTTCTTTTCGTTCATTATATAGACAAAAGTTCATGTTACACCTCCAGGAGCTGCTCATTTATGGAAACGTGTAAGCACACAGTTTTTGTACTGATGTTAATGCCAGGGGAAGGTTGGAGCTCTGCTTTCAATGAGGAAGCAGAGCGTAGGCGACGTTTACGCTCTGTATGCCTCAGCATTCAGCAATCCTGCCCTGTACATGATTTCTGAATGCTTCCCAATTCCCATAATATCACTTAAAGTTGTTCATGGAATATGGGAGAGAAGATATATCACAAACTGTTGCAACAGTGGAGTCTTATTACAGCAATACTCTTGATTTTAGTGATCTTCGTAGAACGACGTGTGGAAGGCTGTTTTGTTCACTAAGCCCAGAACCCAGGATTGGCAGATCTCATTAGGAGGAGCAGTTTTATAAATGTATAAAATGTTGATTGGGGGAAAAATCTTTAAACTCTTTCTTCTCCATAAAACCAAACAGAGAGGTTCATCTGCACTGGAGCCCTGAAGTCTCTGAGTCGCTGAAGTCTGGGAACAAGTTGCAGTGTTCAGACTTCATCCTTGCTGTGGGACAAAATGCTTCCAGTAAGTTGCTGCTGTCTCTGTCCTGTCTGCTGACTCACCTGTGATTGGTTTAACTGGATGCCCAATGTTATTACACATTAAATGAATATTTAATATTCCCGTCGGGACACTGGAACACGGTGGACCAAAATGTCAGCTCAGAGGCAGTAACAGAATATTTCCAAGAATCTTTTGTACTTTTAAAAATGATGACATGGGGAGCGAGTAGGATATGGTGCTAAAACACTGCAGGACATATAATGCAGACAGTCAGGGATTTGTGTTTTGATCATCACTTAATCTGCATCTTATTTTCTCAATTATTCAATGAGTTTTTAAATTTTTTTAACTAACTGTTTTCACTGAGTTGGTGACTGTTTTATTTCTTTGAAGTGAGGTTTTGATCCACAGCTGTAGGTGGCAGTAGGCCACGCCCCTCGGCAACAATAACGCCATATACTACTGTGGACTGGGATAGCAGCAACATGCATTTTGGTGATCTGAAAAATTCAGTTGACATCAGATCTTTTTCAATTCAGTTTTATTTATATAGCACCAAATGACAACAATAGTTGCCTTAAGGCACTTTATATTGTAATCCCAGTTAAATAATCTTATTAGTTTTTCAAGCCTACCTTCAATATCTTAAGTCTGGACTTTTATTTTTGCTCATAATCTTTCCTTTTGCTGTTGTTCCCTTCTGTAAGGGATACCAGTAGCGCTCTTGTTATTTCATGTTTCCTATTTGGAAATAAACACTTGAGTAACTTGTGAGCTTTCTTTGAAAACTGAGAGACTCTGTCTGCACAGGTTTTCTGTCAGTGCACATCCTGTCCACGCCAAACTGGGATACAATCGGACGTGCGTCGGTGTGGAACGAGAGGAGCCGAGCTGTAATGGGGCAAAGCTGCGAGGAATCGGCGTGTGTTTTCTACAGACACAAGGACAACCCAACAGTGAGTGACGCACCGAGCGGGGCAGCACTTCAAAATATATCTGAAAGCTCCTGACGGTCGAGAACTCGATGATCATTCAGTTTAATGGGTTTGCTCCTGAACTTCTGTTTAATATTTTTCAAGTGCTGTTTGAGATGTTCGCTCATTTATATCAAGGGCACTTTATAATGGTTGTGGCCTGTTCGCTGTCGAGCTGCAAACAGATGAGATATCATAAAAGAAAAATCTGAATAAATTACGTGCAGTGCAAGAGTAAAGAATGAAATGCTGGTTCTGTTACAAAACTTGGAAGAGAGGCCATTACACAGAGGATTAATGAACCCTGGTAATCTAGTGTCTGTTGTCAGAGTTATAACCGACCGGTTGATTGTGTGCAGAACCGCCTGCCCTCAGCCACACGTGATTCAATCAAGATAAATGTAGTGAACGGTTGCTCCTGTGCTGCCGAGGAAGCTTCAGATTTATCACACGTGTCCTGCTGCCTTCAGGTGGCTGCTGGGATTTAATGTACTGGGGGACCACAGGAGCAGCTGTGGACAGCAGATACCGCGACAGTTGGCCATTAATTTAAAGATCACTGATTTACTAAAAGTCCTGCTAGCACAACCTTCATTTTTAATGCTGATTTAAAGGGCGAGGAGTGTGTTTTAGACAGTAGTTGGTGTGTGTGATGGAAAATAATGCAGCAAAAGCAGGGATATTAAGTCTAAATAAAGCTCTCAGTTCAGTGTAGGATCAATAAACGTGATTTTTCTTTGAAGAGTCGAGAAGCCTGAAGAAGTTTGTAATGTTTCCACTTTAATCAGTCATCGGTGGAAAGAAAACTTTAATGTGAGTTAGAAGATAAATCATTGGTTTATGTTTTTTGATAAAGGCAAAATACCCCGTGTTTGCTGACCTCATGTTCCTGATTGAAATCTCTGACAATTAACTGACTAAATAGTAAAGTAATGCTCTAACGTACCAACAAAATCAGTTGTAGAGTGTTGAATCAAACTAATTTAGCTACGTATTTAGTGGAGGTGGTGGCTACAGTCTGTCCCCTGTCCTAGAGTGAGAGGCGGGTTACACCCCTGAAAAGGTCAAACCCACATTCACACCCAGTTTAGCCAATTTAGAACCACCTAAAATCATCTTTGTCTTTCCGTGGGGCCCCACATTTACCGGTCCCATGTCTTTCAGTGTCAAGTACATTCTTCTTTAATGTTTTGGGTGGCAAACACCTTGTAGGTGGGTTTGCAGTAGTATTAAAAAACAAAAAACAAAATGAGAGACACTATATTCAAGACAAAAAATGGCCACACAAACTTCTGGATTATTTGAATATTTAAGAATCCATACTTGTGGGTCCTCTGGGTGTTTAGTTTGACTTTAATTCAACAACTTTAACTAATTATTGCAGAGCTTAAAATGTTGATTTACTCTTCTCCGATTTAAACTAATTTAATCAGTTAGAATATGGGGAAATCCGATTGCATTTGAATATTAAAGGTCTGAAAATGTTTAGTTTTTTTAAATTATGAAAGTATACTTGTTGCATAAAAAGTTTTATTTTTCTTTCCTTGAAGGTTTTGATATGCCAGGTGTCGTGCTACGTTGCAGAAGACCAGCTTTTTCAGTGGACAGAAAAGGTATGTTTAATGAACTAAGCGAAGAACTGCAGGGAGATTGTGTTATGTTGTTATTCTAGACTTTTTTTATGATGTGAAATGTGAGCCAGTGGTTGTTGGCGACCCATTCTGAGGACTTGAGCTGAGCATTTTTGACACTGAATGCTCATAAGCTAAGCCCGATTTAAAGAAAGCCCTGCTTCATGCAAGAAACTACTGGCTGAGCCTATAAATTCAGATTAGAGAGGTCAAATAAAACTTCTGGGTTGGGGTTAGGGCCATGATTTTACAACAGCACTTGTCCCTTGAAGTTTAATGTGTTTAAACTTCAAACTTCCATCATTTATATACAGTTTGTTTTTTCTTTGTGCAGCGCCGTTCAGGCCAATTTTCTTTTTTCTTTTAGTTCAGCACAATTTTATTTATTTATTTTTTGTTTCACTTGTGAAGCACAACAGCATCATAAAGCATACGGTTTGCTATAATATACATTTACCAGTATCTCATCCAGGCATGATCAAGAAGCTCAGATTTTTAGACCAAACAGGAGAACTGGGTTAAAGTGTGATCTTGTGATGGTTGTTGGTGCCACACAGGCTGGTTATAGAGATCAGAAACTGCTGATCTCCTGGGATTTGTTATAGTGTAAAAGCAGGGTAGCATCTCACACACTAAACCTTCCAATTGGCTACAGCAGCAGGAGACCAAAGCAAATTTCACTCCATTTGGCTGAGAACAATAAACTAGGCTGTACTAGGCACCGGCACACCAAAACAGAAGCAAATTGGGCAAATATCAACCGGTCTCACGAGTCTCCAGTCCTGCTGCCAGAATTTGGTGTAAACAACATTGATCTATCCTGCTTCGTGCCAAATGTTCAGGCTTGTGGTAGTGTGGAACATTTTCTTGGTACATATTAGGTCCCTTATGTGTTCAGTAATAAATCAACCACTGAGTGTACAGTAATTATTTATTTACTGGCTTGTTTTTAACCACACACTGAGATTACAGTGAGACATGGAGGTGGTTTTTCAGCGTGACCAGCATGGTTAAAGTGTTGTTTGCCTGACTGTGTGTTTCTTTTGTCTCCTGTAGGTGTTTGACTGTCTGCAGCACAGAGAGTTGAATGTGACGGTGCTGTCAGACACCTCTGTGGCTGATTATAAGACGGCAGACTATCTGGGCGGCAGCTCCGCTCCCTTCCTGCGCTCTCTCCACACCAGTGCTTTTGGTGATCAGCCTGTCTGCCAGTCGCTGGAGCAACCCAACATAGTTACTGGACTTGCAGCTGCAGGTATTACTGTTGCACGACTGTGTGACTCGGATGTCTCAGACTTAAACTGTTCGTACTTCCTTTTCTCTCTCATTTTGCAAACGCACAAGGAAAACCTACAGACGCTGCATAAAAAAATGCAACTCTGCTTCTCCAGTCGTGGTATTGCTGTGCAAATTTAGCAGAAAAAAAACCCTTTGATGTTTGATTGAATGGCAGCTTTATTCTTACAGATGTGTTAGGGAGGCATTTTCCTTTAACCCAGATTTTCTGCCTTCTAGGCAACCTTTCCTAAGCTATTTTGGTGTCATGTGCACCTCTTGTTTCCTTTCCATGTTTGAAATCAACACCTGCCAAGCTCCAGATTCTCCTACTGAACAACATATACATGAATAAATCTCTGATAGGCCAAAATCAGCCAGAAATATAAGCCAGGTGATTTCCTGGTCAGGCTCTAGTTCTGCAGACCGTATTTCCATTCTTTATAAATGAATGAAAAAACCCTCTACAAAGTTTCTATAGAGTCTTATGTGTTAACTCAGGAGTTTTATCTTACTTCTGTAAGACATTTATCTGAAACAGTGTAGATGACGAGGACAATTACTGTGAAAAGAAGTAATTTTCTCACAGACCTACAACAAGTCATGTTTCTGGTATAAATTAGGCCTTAACAAAGAAATTGCCTCAAACGTTTTTCATGACCACCAGAGGGCGACACCTGTGCTTGCACAAACACCCCAGTACTGTAGAAGTCTGTAAAAGCAGCGTTTGGCCCCAACCTCTGTTTGCTTATGAGTTTAAGGGCTTGGTCATGTGATTTGAGTCATGCTGACTAAAACATGAAGCCCATTTTATGAATTTTGTTCTGTTTAAATTTCAAAATGATTTATCTGGAGTATGCTCATGCTAATGTCTTGTTATTGACGTGTCACTGGCTAGTGAGCATGCGGTTTCAATCACATCCACACCTTGCCCACTGCAAAAGGTTTCAAGACACCAAAGCTCAGTTTGACGTCACAGTAGCTATGTCCATCTTTTGTGCTGTGGTTTGGATGATGTTCTTAAACTGAACCAAATACTTTGGTTTTTACCTTAAAGTATCTGGGCTCTGTGGTGTAGTGGTGCCAAAAAATCCCTGGATGGAGACACAAGTCCAGCCTAAAGAGGTCATAAATTAATGTACTCGAAGTGCCGGTCAAAGACCAGATTAATGGGATTATTGCATCAGGCAAGCCGCCTCTATCCACTGTGGTGACCCCTTGGGAAATAAGCGAGCTGCTAAAAATATCTTACTGTTCATTGTGAACTGAGATCAGTGTTTTAACTTGAAAATGTTTTCACTTTCTGTGTATGTCATTTCCAATTTGGTCTTGAATTCTGTTTAAAGTGGCTTTCAGAAGGTGCTTTATAAAGACACATATTTAACACCTAGTTCTGCTGCACAGCACCAGTCTTTCTCTTCAGTAATGGGACAAAGTGAAATAGGCTGTAAAAGTGCTGTAAATAAAGCTTTAGCTGGGTTTGTTTCCCAGCTTTTCTTGTTGAAGTGTCCTTGAGTAAGATACTGAACCCCAGTTTACTCCTGATGTGTGTCTGTGTGTGTTTGAGAAGTCGCTTTGGACAACAGTTTCTGCCAACTGAATGAAATGTGGTGCCATTAGGCTCCTCTCCACTCACTGAGAACACAAAGTCCTGCATCCTGATTTTTGGTGCGAGTGCTCTTAAAGACGCAGGTTCCAAACAAACAGATGTATCATCAGGAGATCACTGGACGGTCACGCACACCGCATATCAATAACCTTTGTGTCTTCTTCTTCTTTGTGCTGTTTCATCAGTACTGAACCACTGCCAGGTCCACCGCATCGCCGCTGTTGTTTACCAGTGTTACAGTGATGTCATTGGCCCTGACTCTGTCACCATGGAGACCTACAAGCCTGTGTTAACCAAACTTGGCAGATCTATACAGGTGAGCTGTTTTTCCTTTTTATATCTGAAGAGGCTTTTAAAAAGGTCACAAAGGAAGGATGCACACGAATGTCCTACATCTGCTGAGCTGCTCTCTTGGCTGAATCCCAGTCGATGACGCCACTGCAGGTTTTAATGCTGATGGAAATAGAGCTGTAAAGTTTGAGGAGCAAACTTTCAAAAGTTTATTTCAATTTTAAGGTCTGCCTTTCAAACCATAGCCACAGTCAGAGTTCCCACAGGTCATTTAAAAGTCACAGATAGTGAGTGAAACTGAAAGAAAGTGTCTCCTGAAAAGGTGTGTGATTAAGAGAAGTCATAAACACTTTCATTTTCTAAATAGTTTGCTCAGCATTTGTTATTTTGTTGTCAACCTCTATTTATTTTAAGATTCACCTACATTTTATTTATAGAGCAACACAATAAGGGTCATCTCAAGGCATGTTATATGGTATGGTAATTGTGGAGAGAATCTGGGACTCTCCACCATTTGACCCTTAGAACTGAAGAAGCTTCTCGGATGAGAGGTGAAACGTTTTCAAGCAACTTAAACAAGTCCAGATGCTTTTCTTAAGCTCCTTAGACTGTCTGGTTAGACCTTTGAGATTTCTTGTAGACACAGTCCACAATCTAAACTCATGTGAAACTTCTGTAGGTTTACTTTATTACGAGGATCATTAACGGCTTAATCTTGTCAGTAATCACATTTTTGTTCATCAGGCCGACATGGTGCATAGCTCTAATCCATACAACACCCATGAGCCTTGATGGCTTGTTGCAGTGCAGGAGAGGCAGAATCAGAATGGAAGCCAAATGAAAGCGCTTCACTGTTGAATTTATCTGAAATATGGTTCCCAAATGAAACCAAACCCAGAAGCAGGGATTCCAGCAGCAGCTTGTGTTATAATTTTTCTCTTTCAACCTTTAAGATTTTTGATTTGATAAAACTTGCCCTCGGAGACACCGATTAAAATCTCCCAAGAAAGTTTTAGGTTTGCAAGTTTGACTTATTATTAAAGATGCTTTCCGATGCAGCTGCTCTTCCCTTGCTGATGAATTATCCAAGAGTGATTCATGCTCCAGCTCTGACTCAGGCAACATTGTCTCTGGTTACTTCACAAGTCAGGTGTCTAAGATCAGAGAAGATGAGGTTTTTTTTTTCAGCAAATTTGTCAGTGCCTACAGTTACGATGGAAATGTGCTTTATTTATACCCGAGATCTCTTTTATATACTTTGAAACTGTTGCAAGTTTTTAGAGAACATCAGTCATCAAATCCATGAGGGTTTATAAAAACAAAAAGCTGTATTTAAATGAAACGAAACTGTTTCTCATTTTAATTTCCTGCATTTCTCTTTCTCCTCAGCTTGATCCGTCTCCAAGCACAGATGCCCTCCGCAAGTTTGTCAGGACCACCGACCTTCAGAGCAATCTTTATATCTGAGTCCGTACTGCACACTCTGTAATTCTATTTTTCTGTCGTAAAATGCTGTCATTTTTTTAAAATAAAGACATTTAAAAAAAAAAAAAACATATTAGAAATCTTTTAAGTTTAATTATTTACTTCAGTCTGTCCATAAATAATAGGTCCTAAAAGTTTCCAAAGAAATGCAGATGCATACCAAGAAAGCTGTTGCAGCTTTATGGAGAACATATATAAACTTTTAACTTGCATGTAACTATTTTCTTAAGAATTACAGGCTAAATCATTGCACAAGGTGATACAGACCGTTCACGTAAAAACATTTCCATTGGGGATAAAAACAGCTGAGGTTACTTGAAACTACAGATTTGTAAACTGCTCAAAAGTTTCCTCCATTTTCCTCCCTCTCTTATTCCTGAATAAAGTCAATTTTATAAATATTTTTATTGGAGTTTTTTTTCTAGAGAGTCAGATAACTATTTTTTGAATGCAGATAAAATTTGGTACAAATATTCTTGGATGAAATCTGTCAACCTTTGGTTCCTTCTGAGTTTTTGTGCCTGCAAAACTAATAACATTCCCAGATTAGTGAGCCTTGAAAAAGCATGTTTGATAGACGTGTCCTCTGAGCTATAATCTCTTGAATTAATCTCTTACATGAAGTTATTAAGTGCTATACATATCCTTTTGGGCGAGCATGTGTCCTTATTCCCACTGATCTCCTGTCAGCTGTGCATGCTATGGCAACAGCAAAAATAAGCCCAACAGTGGCTGAGAAGGGCCTATATTTCCATTTTATGGCAAGCACAGTTTCATTTTGGTGCAGAAAAAAGACAAAACTGAAAGCAACATGTCACAAAGGCTACCAAAATGCTTCACTATAAAGTCTTCTTACACATTTTCAAGTTATATTTATGCATGTAATCATTGTTTATGAAATTATTACTATAATTTATGATATGGACAGATTGATGGAGTCGTTCAAGAGCATCTCGAGTCGTTTCATTTCCCAGTGTGTGGGGATGACAGCCCTGCCAGTGTTTCCTCCTGGCCAGATGGGGGCAGCAATGCGCCGGTGAACCCCAAAACGCTCAAAGAAGTTGAAGTCAGCGAAACTCAAACAAACCAGTTGGTCTAGATTGTGCACAGGTCCTCGTAACAGGTGCTTTAAAATATATATATACCCACCCTATATTTTTAAACAGTGGAATTCGTGCATAATAGAGTCGATGTATGTGCTGTGTCTGTCTGTAGTAAGCCCGCGTAAAAATATTACTATCTGCGGGTTAGCACTGCTTGAAACGTTAGCCTGGTTACCAGGCTACCAATGAATGCTAACCGGGTTATAGCTCCTAAAAACGGCAGGAACAAAGCTCCAGTCGGGCGGATGAAGGAACACCGAGCCTTCAGAGCCAGCAGAGTGCTGGCTGAGAGGAACCAGGCGGTGGTGGCGGTGGGAGCCTGGGTGGAGGGCGGACAAGACTTCGTGGAGCATCCGGCTGTAAGTTTGGATGTGGAGAAGCTAACTGCTGACAGTTACTGTTTGTTGACATAAGCTCTCCTTCCCGTCTCCTTTCCATTTAATTGTACTTCATACTAAAGAACTATCGATATATAAGCAAATATTCACACCGGAGGAGTTTAATCCATTGCAGTTTAGACGTTTATTATAACTGTTATTAATATTGAATAGATCCAGTGTGTCCACACACATTGGTTGGTCTTAATCTAAAATCACTCTTCACTTTAACATTATATTTCTAAGAAATTTCACATTTCACTGTCATAAATCACCCTGATGTTCATCTCCACCTGCTCCACCCTGCTTGCATGCTCTTCTTTGCCTCTCATGTGCACTGTCTGCTGGTGTGAGTCGTCATCCACCTTCGCTATTACACCTGTCTCCTTCTCATTAACACACATGTATTCTGTCTCTCTTCTACTGACTATGAATGAATGGGTGCACTTGTGATTTGGTAAGAAAAACCTGGGAAATTTCTATTTAAATTCCAACTGTGCAAGATCATAGACTTAAAAATATTGAGACACAGGAGGATTTTACATTAATTAAAGAATAGAAGGACATTTAACTGGCAAGTAGACTTGCCCTAGATGCAAATTTTATATAAGGTTAGCTGGTGCAAGTCTTAGTTGCCCTTGGTTTTCTTCACTACAGTTTTCCAAACTAGTTTTCCTGTGTCTTGGTTTAGGCTCTTGCTTTGCTGACTGATGAGCTACAGGCAGAGAAAAGGAGGGAGAACGAAGAGAGCCTTCAGCGTTTTCAGGATGAAGTGCGCCACCGTGTGGCACAGAAAGCACATTTGTTCAAGAAGAGACAGCAGCTGCAGACAGATCCAGTGGTAAAAAAAAAAAAATGACTCAAGTGAAGTGTTAATTATATTCCTTTCACCCCAGATTCCCACCTGAAATTAACACTTCAGCTAACAGGATTTATAGCTAACATTATTGAGTTATTTTGACTATCATTTAGAAAAGGTAAAACAAATTGTAATGTACTATCATTGTCATTGTTAAATTTATCAAATATGTTCCAGGTGTTTTATTACATTTAATCTCTAATTAAATGGCATGTTGATGATAACATAAAACCCTTAGAAGAAGCAGCTCCTCATATCTGAGAAAACTTTGTGAGACCACATTTTAAACACACGGATAGCTGAGCCCTGTGATTGCCTTTCCTGCTGCTGCTGATGTTGTTGTCTGCTTGTCCTGTATTGTTGCATATGGTGTATTTTTTGTCCAGGTGACACCTGACACGCGAGTCATCTGGACCCATCATGAAGGTGAGACAGTGAGAACTGCTGCACAGCAAAGGGTGATGGAGAGGAGACCTCAGGAGGTGAGATATTAGTAAATAATTAATAATTACAGGTACAATGCGTGCACCCACCCACCCTAGTTGGTTTTAAGGGTAGGATGCAGTGATCATCCTGGTCACACACTTGTGGCCATGAAGAAATTATTTTCCCAGTTTAATGAGAAAGAACTTGACATATTGCGCATGTACAGGCCGAGACAGTCCGGCCTCAAAAAATCCAGCACTCATTGGTTTTCACCCGGCAATAGCAATCTTGGTTTTCACAGTACATCCATAAACTGTATGGGTGCAGCTCACCTGCTTATTATCACACTAATAAAATACAAGAAACTCACTCACCAAAACTGAAGCACAAACTTCTTGGATGCATTGTAACATTTTTCAGATATATACATTAAAATGTTCTAGAATGCACTAAAAATGGCGAAATGGTTCAGTTCAGTTACTTCAAGTAGGTGAAGCTGAGGCCTAGCAGACACTGATTGGCCACAGCTGCCTATTTAGGACCTCCTGCCAGTCACAGGACGACACCCTAACTTTAAGGCTTAACAAAATCCAAGCTGATGAATTATAAAATGGTCACCCACCACACAGGTGTCATTAAAGGGGGCAAGTATCCATAGAGACCAAAACTGTAAATGTGCTCATATAACATGTGAGTCTATTGAGACTGACGATCTTTCGCATCAAGCCTCAAATGGCCATTAGAAGAAGTGCAGTTTGTGGCTTCATTTGTAGGTCCCAGAGTCTTTCCAGAGTCTTTCCTGATTATAAGAAGCTCTTAAACCTGTATATTTCTTTCGTCTTTAATGACATGTTGATCAGGGACATGTGTGTGTGGGTAAGGTGTGGCTGAGAAATTTAATGTAATGTAGATATTTACAAAGAGTGTCTGCATTGTTTATTGTCCACCAGGGGCGCATCGAGTTTTCATTCCACTTGTAAACTGATAGTCATCTTCTTTATAGGATTCATTAACCAGCCTTGACATCCTTTCTTAAAAGTTTTTTAAATATGTTTTAAAAGTATTATCATTGAATTTAAAATAAATTTATATGAAGTTTGCAGTATCTGCCTCAAACGTCCATCTATTTGTTGAGACCTTGTTATTTGTAAATGTTCTTTTTTTTTTATTTTATTGTGTCTGATTGTTTATATTTTGCAGTGTGTAAAGTGTGCTGTTCTTGGATTGCAGAATGATTCCACTGTTCCTTGTGTGACTTCACACAATGTGACACTGATTAATCTGGATTTGTATTTATTTCCACA